GGATGAAGAGTTTTTAACATTTGCAAATTAAAGTTCATAAGCCTTGAGATTGCTGGTATTTGAAAACTGTAGTGAAAAATAAATAAATGTAATGTCATTTAAGATGATTATGTACTCACTGTAGGATAAGTGTTTCTGTGATTTGGACTGAAGTCTGTGCCATTCATTTTATTTATTTATTTATTATTATTATTATTATTATTATTATTTTACCCTACCCCACCCTATGCCATTGATAATGGGATAATGGACAGTTAGGAGGGAACCTTACAATGATATCTTCTGTTCAAGATGTTTAATTTTAAAGATTTGTTTAACCAAGCCAAACATTTTTTCAAAGCTTGTATTTTAAATGTTAAAAGAAGTAAAATCAGTGTGCCTGTAGTTTGGATGTTTTCTTGTTTAAGTAAATAACTGGAGACAAAGCAATGAAGGAGAAGATAATTAAATGAGAAGGCAAAATTGATGAATTCAGAATTGCATGTGGTAGTGTCTCTTTGACTTTGTTGGAGCATGAGAAACCTGCTAAATAGTGATAAACAGCAATATTTAAAAATTTCCTTTTACCCTTTAACAAAATCAAATCATGGTGATCTTTGGAAAGATGCGTTTGCAAGTGAACAATAGGGGAGGAATGAGATCTGTTAATTAATTGAAATGATGCAAGTGATTCATAATAGCTAGAAAATTTGGGAGCCAAATGGTACATTACACTGATAGATTATAGGCATGGGAATTCCCAATCCCTCAAAGTTAATCAGAAACAGAGTATCTTCAGGCCTAATGATTCTTCTAGGAATCTTGAGATTGGCCGTACATACTGTATGTGGTGTTCCTATTGGAATATGTGACCTGTTATAAATGAAAAATCTTCAATTATATGAAAAGTAATATGGTTAGGAAAAGGAAATAGTAGAGCAAGAAGCAAGTACTCGGAACAAAAATCTCAGAGAGGCAGCAATGAATGGAGTGTCCTGTCCTAACGCTGGTGAGTGTGTTTGGCTACAGTCCACTTTTCAGTGGGGCAGATGGAGGTTGAAATGGTAATGACCAAGGTGTAGTAAGAATGGGACACCACCCCTCAGATAAAGAAGTGTTGCCATGACCAAACCAAGAACTAATTTAGGGGATGAAAATAATTTATTGTGAGACCTCTGTGTTGCTCTTAAATTTTGCTTACTGGTCAGCCGGAAGGTTAGCAGAACTATTTGCCTCCCATTGCCATACTTATGCAACCCACTCACAACTCTTTGTAATTCTGGCTTTCAGCCTTGGGGAGAGGAAGTGAGTTAAAAGGGAATATGCAATGCTAGTTTAGAGTTATTGAGGGAGGAATGTGTGTGACTAAGTGAGGCAGTTCACTCTGTCCTTTGACATTTGCTCTAATAAATTTTTATTCTGAATGAAATTCTGGAAGGAGCGAAATGACATGGAGAACCAAAGAGCTATGAGAAGGGAGGTTCAGATAGCAGAACTCCTTCCTTCTCTCCCACATAGATGCCAGTATCTGTGGGAGAAAAAGAGTGACAACTAAGAACAAAGAGAACTTTTATTCTTGCCTAAGTAGAGAGCACTTAAATTGAGTTTTTGAATCTGTTGCACCACTTTATCCCATAATATCTCATAACAGAACATTCTGTCCCTACAAAGTTTGCCCCTTTAGTCTGATATTTTTAAATAGTTAAGTTAGAATGATAACAAAAGCAATTTTATATAAGATTTATTTAGATTTTTACTAACAATGAAAAACTTTCTCCTAAATATTTAACTTGACATGCATCCTTAAAATACTTGAGGGCAAAGGAAGATCATGAGAATCAGAAAGTTCACATGATTAGACTTACTTCTATCAATTTTTAAAATAAATAAAGTTAAAAACAATCCATGTTTTCCAGAGAAAGGGAACAGAGAGAGGGATAGGTGAAAGAAAGAAGGGAGAAAGGGAGATAAGGAAAGGGAGGAAAGAAGGGACAGACAGAAGAAACCAAGAAACAAGCATTTATTAAGCATTTATTAACCCACTGTGATCCCAGATGGTGTTTAAGCATTTCTATGAAGCATTTTTCTTTCTTGCTCACTTAATACTCAACACAATTCAATACCCCCCACCCCAACTTTATTTTTGGAAGAGGAAGCAGTATATTTGACCATATTACATTTGATATTTATATTTATGACAAGACAGAGGTGCTAGAAAGGCTAACTAAATCCTCCCACAGAAATTGGCACAGATATTGCTGGAAATTTTCTTGCAAAGACTTCTTTTTGATCCATAACTGTTACATTTCCTGGCATTAGGAGTTTGGCCCTGGAAAAGGGAACTGTAGATTGGCCCTTCTCCATATTAAGTGATGAGTTTGGCTCTTTGCAAATAAGTACAGGATTAGTCTGCTTTGGGAACATTACCTGGGTTCAGATAGAGTTGTTACCAGGAGCAAGACTAATCTAGAGGTTTCCTGGATGATCTTCTGGTAGGTAAAAAAAAAAAAAAAAAAAGATAAAGAAAAGAAAGGGCTGGTACCTTTTCAACTGTGGTGTGGAAGTGGTTTAAGAAGAGTTAGGAATAGAAAGAAAAGTTGGAGCCATTTGCTACATAATTATAGGAAAAACTGTATGATGATTTCTGAACATTTTCAATGTTTAAAAACAATTGGGATAAAACATGGAATATCATAGCACCTCTTTTCCAGGTAGCTTGAAATTAGTCTGCTTCCTTTTTATAGCTTCTTTGGTTAAATCTGCAACTATCTCTTGATATCTCAAGCCACTCCACTCTTCCTAAGTTCCAATGATAAATACCTTCTAGTCAGAGACAGTTTGTGCACACAGTTAATTACATGGAGTTTTAAAGCAGTCTGTCAGTCTCAAGATAACCACTGTCTACATTTCCTGTGAATAGTTGCTAGATGAACCTAAAAGATTACTGGTTAATTAAGATCACTGACCGTTAGATTAACCAAAACAAGCCAAAACCAAAACTCCGTATATTCTTTACTATCTTCATTTTGCTAGTTCTTCATTGACATTTGGTATGGAAAGTACTTGTGGTTACTGGCTTGTAGTTGTGGAGGACAGCAGAAAAGAAAGAGTGACAGAGAGGATGGGAAATGAGCATGGCTAAGTGGATAAAATGAGATATGATAGCATCTTTAATAACCAGATCTGAAGTTACTAATTTTTCTTCACTGAATTAATCATAATGGTGTCAGTGACAAAGAAATAGGAAAAAATTATCAGTGTCTTTAACATATAGCCTGAGAAAAGAGTAACAATATAGACTCCAATATTACTAGTGTGTTTTTGAAGGTGGAGCCCTGCATATAGAGCTGACGTTTTTTATTCTTAGTAGTCTGTTATAACTTATTGATAGATTGCAGCTCAAAAAGTATATGTTCAAAACTGATTACAACTCAGATATGTGTTTCCAGAACAGTCTGACAAACAGAGTGTAGTAGCTCATGCCTGTAATCTCAGTGCTTTGGGAGGATGACATGGGAGGATCACTTGAGGCCAGTAGTTTGAGACCAGCCTGGGCAACATAGTGAGACTTTGTCTCTACAAAATAAATAAATAAATAAACAATCAATCAATTTAGAAAAATAAAAGGAACAGTCCGACAAAAGTAAAATTAGTCTTTTACTTTAAAAATAAAATTAGTAAAATTAGTCTTAGAGTTTTATCTTCTATTTAGGATATGAAATATGTAGGCATCTTCTGTGAGCACAAAATTGGTGCTTGCTGCCTGGGTATCTAGGCTTTATTCTACAATGTCAGCACCCCTGAAGCTATCGACCGTTAGGAACTTTGTCCATAATTAGCATGGGCTGCCACTAATAAGTTACAGCATTTTGGTAATGACCTAGTAAATTGAAGAGTTAGACTTCCATATAGGCATAATTATCTTAAACACAGTTTCAGACATTTTAAAAATGCTTTTTGACCCTCTAAAAAGGTATATGACTTTATTAATAAAAGCCATTTTCAACTGAAATCAAAGCAAAATTTTATAAAACAAAATACAGGAAAATTTCTTAATTTTCTCAAACTACTTTGTATTCAATATGCTATTTAATCTTTATAACAATTTTGTGAATGCCTCCATTTTAATGTAAATAAATCTCAGAAATTTTAGATGACTTATAACAAAGTTGTATATCTAGTATTTTCCATCTTTAAACCTTAAATACACGTACACTGACTGCTAGAAATCTAATTATTTCAGTTACTACTTACTATAATAGAAGATTCCCTGCCAATTAGGCAAAATGTTTTCTTTAATTCTCTGTATTCAGTGTCCTAAAGAGTTTAGAGTATATAGGTATAGTCTATTAGAAGGAAAAGAGAATGGATAAATTTTAACATGTCTCATGGAATAGTTTTGATGTTTTTAGATTTTACTTGATGAAGTAAAATGAATACATTTTTTATAAGTTAGGTGGGTTTCTTGCTGATACATCAGTCCCAAGTTGACTACCAACTTTGGGGTCTTAAGTGATGCAGTAATCACATTTGGTATGGGCCTGATCTCTGAATATAGAATGGCGACTGTAGACCAGCATGGGCTCAAGACGTTAAGTCATGGGAATATATAATCAGGTTGCATCAAAACAGAAAGGGTAGTTCTATTGCAGCAGAATCTGCCATGGTTGTGTAGATGTGATGATACATTTGAATTTCAAACATCCACTCTTAGATATTTGTGAAAAGTTCTGTTTTTAGATTAAGTGGTATTTATATCTCACATGCACATTTAGCCATCTTGTCCACTATAATTTTGCTGTCTGGTCTCAGAAAGGGAAAAAAAGTAGCTTTAGACAATACTTACTACTTTGTTGACTGTGTTAGTTTCTTCTTCCTAAGCAAATTATTGTAATCTCATCTCTCCTTTTGAGTCCAATTTTTCTATAGTTGGCTTATGTCAATGGCTCTTAACAAAATGATAAAGTATATTTCCAGAAAGCACATGGATTTGGAACTCTCTCTTGTTATGTTTATATTAGGCTTTATTTTAAAGGCAAGTGAGACTGCTTCAAATAAAACAACTCCAAGCTTCCAAGAAACAGTTAAGAGAAGGCTGAGAAGAGCAGAAACACTTCTTCGCCGACACTTACACTGTTGCCATGGACCTACATAAGCAGTGGGACAACACAGAGACTAACTGGCACAAGGAAAAGATGGAATTACTGGACCAGTTTGATAATGAAAGAAAGGAATGGGAAAGTCAGTGGAAGATCATGCAGAAGAAGATAGAAGAGGTACAAGTTGATTTGTTGTGAATATCTTGTAAACTTCAAGCTCAGAATGAAAAGTCTGTTGAAGGTTGTTTTGTATTGGAAACGATTCCTATTTTCCTTATTTCACCTAAGAGGTGCATGTCTCAGTGACATTTACTAGACCAAAAATAGCATAATATTACCCAGTGGTACCTTAAGAACTATTTTATAGCCTTGCATGAAAAGTAAGAACTTGAAATGTCACTCCAAAATATTTCAATTTATTATTTTCTGGCTAGAGAGCCTTGGTTTCAAAAGTGAGATATGTATTCTGCATGAGTTTTCAGATACCAGGTCCCACGAGTAAAATGCAAGAAAGGCATAATTGTTATGACATATATGAGCAAAATTACAACTGGACATTAGAACGTAGATCTTTCCTGAGATAATTTATAAGTAATGTCTATTAAAGGAAGTTACATGTTAGATAAATCAGTATAAAAAAGGAGTATCATATGTCAAACAGAAAGTGGCAGTGGACAGGAGCTGTATTCTGGCATGGTGTGCCACGTTTATTGCACATTTATTAGGAACTCTCTTAAGGGGTTATGAGACTCTCAAAGGGGTTATGAAAATTACATGTCACAACTCTGATACAAATAGTCATTTTATTCCCATTTAGCCATCCCTCTCAGCCTGGTAGGCCTGAATATTTCCTTTAAGCATTTGCGTTGGTGTATAGTCAAACTTGTTCAACTGAAATTTTTTATACTTTTCTTGCTTTCTTCTGGTAACATCCATAGTATTGACTTATACAATTGGATGTACAATGCACATTACCAAAGTGGTTATTTTAAGACTCCTTGGTCTTTATTTGTGGGCAAAGTGTTTTGTGTGTTTTTAATGCAAACATTTTTCTTATTAACAGCCACGTACTAAATTATGAATAAAATACAAATTGGCATAGCTTAATAAAAGGAAAAATAAAGAAAAGTAGCTGTTAAGCCTTTTCTCTAAGATAGAGCTGAGCAGGCAGGCATGTAGTATATAATTGGAGACTGAAAGGAGAATCCACTTCTTCTCCCTTTGTAGTTTGGGAAATGTGTCCTACTTGCTCCTCATCCCCCTACACAGAGACTCAGATTGGATCAACAAAGAGATGCCTAGGTCAATCAGAACCCAGAACTCCAATTCCATCAGAAACTGATCTGTAATCCTGGGTCACTGGCTCCCAAATGTTTGGGAGGTCCAGTTGGTAACAGTCTCATACATTTCTAGCATCTAAGCAAAATAATTAAGGGAGGCAGGATTAGTCTAGCCAATTGTTCAAGCCATGTAGATAAAACAATCTGGTTAAATTTGTTATATTGTCCAATAATTATTCTGATGACTCTGTAGAGTCTGTCCAAGGTAAGTATTAGCTTTATCAATTAGTGAGCATTAAACATGCTTTAAACATAGGATTATTGCTTGTAGATACATTGTGTCTCCCTTTCCACATCAGGGAAACAGAAGGATGTAACATTTTTTCTTCATCTTGGAGAGGAGTTGTGCTACTATTTATGTCTTGCTGCTTTACTATAGCTCCATAGCTGGGAATATGTTTAGATATTATGCCACCCAAAATGCCCATAGATGATGTTTTTCTATACCTGAATACAATAGCAGCACTGTGTTCCCCTTATTGTATACCAAAACATGTACAAAAGGTACCTTCTTATGGGCTACAAACCATAGAAAGAGTGAGGAAAATAAGAGGAAAGTATCTTCACATATCTCAGAGAATCAGGACAATTTATTTTAAGCTAAAATTAAGAAATCAATACTTGGAAAAATAATATGACACAAGCATCATAGACTGTATTTGTTTAAAATTTATGACTAAGTACTGCGTATGAAATCAGATGTAAATTATTAAGTCCTGTGCTAGAGAATTGTAGATTCCCAGGTATACACATATATCTTCAGTACTATTCGGTATTAAGTTGCTCATGATTCTCTGTTCAGCCACTATCCACAATCATTTCATTTGCTCTTGCAAAACCAAGATATACATACACAGATCATCTGAAACAACTTTGAATAATCCAGATAGAAACACTGGATAAAGTTGATAGACATCTGGACATTTTTTTTTTCACACTGTAATCTTTCCTGCTTGTATCCTTTGGTAGAATAATCACATAACCATTGACTAGGGCTGAGTATTGGGTAACTCAGATTCCCTTATACAAAATAAATGGTTTTCCACCAATAACATTTATTTTATTTGTGTATTCATACCTCACCTGAATCCCCAAGACAATTTAAGATGACATAAAATTGCATATGAGGTAAAGTATGCAAAAACAAAAGTAGAAAGATGAGATGAAGACAGGAAGAAGGATTATATGTGAAATGCAGCAGTGAATCTATCTTCCTAGTAACTAACACAAAAATTATCAAGTGTGTATTTCTTAATATTCAGAAGACAAAGCAAACCTGTTTCCTAGGAATAGCACTCCCCCCCCCAGTTTTTAAACTGAAGCAATTTTGTTTTTACCTATGGCTTCTCAAAAAGAGGACAGTGTCACCAACAGCATCCTTAAATTTAATATGTCACTTTTTAGCGATGTTTCTTATAATATCCCTAGAGGTCAGCCCAAACCGTCACAACCATAGCCATTCAATACAAATAATTTTACAGGACCAAAAGGATTGATGGCTGCAGTTTGATGCTATTCTGACTTTATACAATAAATACTAATAAATTTATTAGTATTAGTAAAATAAATGCACCATATATCTTTTAGGCATGAACTATGTGTAGTGCTTTTCTCTAAACATTTTCTCTACTGAGTTTTGAGTAAATATTAAGTAGCAGTAAATTTGATATATCCTTAAATAATACATGTAGTGCAGATATTGATTGTGGCTATAAAATGTAGAGTTGTTTGGTTAATCATTCTCTGACAGTCTCTTTTAAAATTTGACAAGCTTTTCCAAGACTCCAGCCTAAAGAGAAGGCCACTTCCTTCCTCTATTCAGAGGTGAGGTGAGTGAGTGCCTGCAGGTTTAAGTAAGGTCTCGCCAAGGTACAATTTGGGGTCCACTTTAACACAGACTAAAAGATGATCAAAGCCTTAAAGTTCTATTATTCCACATAGGGAATTGTCACTTATGTTTTAGTCTGAATGAGAAACTTTTAGAATATATATAGCCTTAGCATTAAAAAAAAAAAAAAAACTTGGTAATATCTAACCTTCACCAATGTAATTGACCAAGGGAAACATTTTTTTTTTGGAGACAAAGTTTCACTCTGTTGCACAGGCTAGACTGCCATGCAGTCAACCTAGCTGCTCACAGCAACCTCAAACTCCTGGGCTCAAGCGATCTTTCTGCCTCAGCCTCCCAAGTAGCTGGGACTACAGGCATGTGTCACCATGCCTGGCTAATATTTTCTATATATTTTTACTTAGCCAATTATTTTCTTTCAATTTTTAGTAGAGACGGGGTCTCCATCTTGCTCAGGCTGGTTTCGAACTCCTGACCTTGAGCGATCCACCCACCTGGCCTTCCCAGAGTGCTAGGATTATAGACCTGAGCCACCGTGCCAGCCTGGGAAACATTCTTTGATTGACAAATGTCTCTCAGGGAACAGAATGAGTTGATTTACTATATGGATTGTCAACTATTTAGAGTGTTCAATGTTGGCATACAAGTAGGATCACAATTTTTTAAAACATGACTTTAATGTTAAACTCTTTTCTCTGAAAGCAATTAGATAGCATGGCCAGTAATCGATTCAAATCATTCTAATTTTGTGACAGTTCTTCTCTACCTATGTATGTATAGATACAGATTCATTTTATTTTTGAATCAGTTGATTTCTAGTCGTAAATATAGAAGATACCATCCATGCATTGCCCTACTAAAAATAGTCCTATGGTTCATCAAAGCTGTTCTAGTTAATCCATATTTTAGAAGCTGATATGATATCAGCTTCTGATATCTTCTGATATCTTCCTCCTGTTTGGAGGCAGAAACATTATACCCAGGTGGAATATAGTAATATGGCAAAAAGAACTCAAAACAGTTTGCTTAGTATCAAGAATAAAGAATTAGGGAGGAGAAAAGTTTTAATTTTGTTTTCTTACAGCTTTGCCAGGAAGTAAAGCTTCGGAGGAAAATCAATATGCATGAACGTGCTAGGATCATTGGTCTAGATCTTGAGAAGACCACTCAAGAAAAAATGGTGGAATCTTCTCCAGATGACCCCAGTGCGGGACAATACGAATTTACAGGGATGAATCACAGGGATGGTCTGGGAAAAGAAAAGAAAACGGAGCAGAGCTTATTCAGTGAAGGAAATCAAATGTGTAAAGAACAAAAAGCAACAAAAAAATCAAAAGTAGGATTTATAGATCCTTTGGCCACAGACAATCAAAAGGAATGTGAGGCCTGGCCTGCCCCGAGGACTTCTGAGGAAGAGAGCAAGAGCTGTTCTGGTGCCCTCAACACTGTAAGTGAGCTGTGATTAGCCTAGAACTCTTTCTAAAGAAATATTTACATTTCAAAGTGCTAACATGCTATTGCTTATACATATAAAGGCTCTTGAAGAACTTGCCAAAGTTAGTGAAGAATTATGCAGCTTTCAAGAGGAAATTCGAAAGCGGTCTAACCATAGAAGGTAGGCTGGTACATCTATGATTATTTTATGTTGGGAAATAAAAAAATATTGTTTGTAGTTAGCGAATCCAAACTGCCTCCTCCTTATATTTTGTTTGTGAGAATTGAGAATTTAAGAACTGAGTTATTAAAATTTATTCTCTCAGATGGGAGATAGAAACTTCAATTGTATATGTCTCTGCTCACTAATTCTAATTCTAATTCTAATTCCAATTCCTAAAGCAAATCTTCCAATTCTCTTTGTAATTTGACTATTAGGAATACTTCACTCTTTTGGTGTTTAGTTAAGGTAGCTCTTCCATAATAAATTAACAAGTAGCTTCTAATGTAGCTCTTATTAATAATTTTGAGTAATTGGCCAGTAGAAGAGTATACAACTGGGCTAACCCAGTTAAATACATCTTTAAAATATGTCAGATTTAACACAATGGTGTGTTAGTTATATATATATATATATATATATATATATATATAATGATGTTCTGCTGAAACATTTAATGCTTAAAACACAATTATTTCTCTGTAATTAATATTAATATGTTTCTGATAATTGTAACAGTAATTTTGCCAAATTCAAAAAATATATTTGGAAATTCTCTATTAGTTAAGTAAAGATGGAATATTCTAGGATTAACATCTCCTTGTGGGGCAGTATACTCTTAGAAAGCTACAACAGTGTGTTTCCTTATTTTTCTTAGCTCTTAGGAAGCTCAGAGAGAATTTTTGTGCTGACTTTGCAGTAGGTTTTTTAGCCAACAATGTTTTATACATAATATTTTCCTCTACTTGCCCAATTAGCTTTTGTGTACTATTCTCTGTTAATAAGTACTTATCTGTACTTTATTGTAAGGTATCTCATAACCTTTTATAAATTGAAGATATTTATATGTATGATTTATATTTATCAATATAAGTAAGTTTGATTTGTGATTGTTGCTTTATTTAGGTTTTTATTTAAATAACTCAGAACTTACTTGCCAATTTTCTTTTATAAGTCACACCTGGTGTAAAGCTGTTATTGTCATCCCATGACTTTAGAACAAGGTTCAAAATCTTTGATATATAATTCAAAGGCAGGATGATTTGCCATGACCTAATGTTTCCCTCTCATTTTTCATTTTGGTCCCCACTCTGCTTTATAATCCATCTGTACCAAAGTACTCATTGTCCCTTGAAGAGCCACACAATTTTTATCACAGCTCACTTTGTCTATGTGCCCTTTACTCAGCTCATCTAAAAAAAAAATATCTTACCTTTCTTTCAGGTCCAAATGACACCTTTCATTTGGAATTATTCATGTCTCATTGCACTTTCATTCAGATTTCTATCTTACTATTTAAAATGTTATTTCACATTCAAGGGGAGGAACTTGAGCTCACATTACATAATGAATGTGAATTCGGTAGGCAGAGAGGAGGTAAGGAAATGGTAAGAGAAACCTATAAATGGGAAAGCCAATAGCACAAACGCACAAGACTACACAGTCTAATTTGAGTGTAGGTGAAGTTTCAGGTAATAGAGAAAATGGGACATGAATTAGGAAAGATAGTTTGGGTCACAGTTATGTGTAGAGCCTTGAATCTAACACTGAGAGGTAGACTCTACTATAAAAGCCAAAATATGACTTGAAGTTTTTGATTAGCAGATTTACATAAAAACAATGTTTGAGGTAATTATAACTCCTTTTGCTGTAGCAGAAATCCATTGCTTAAGCTATGGGGTTTCTTTTAAATTGAAATTTTATTGTAGAACTTCTTCAGAGAATAAAAATACTTTTTTTTAAAAAAAATGGTTGTCAGGAGATACAACAGAAAGTGCCTCATTACAATCAATGCAAAGCATATTTGAGGGCTTTGACAGTGCCAGATTTTAAAGGGGACTTGAATGTTTTCTTGAGCTCTTTTTTTTTTTTTAATTATTATGGGTATGTAATGGTTGTCTATATATATGGAGTACATGTGATGTTTTGATACAGGCATACAATGTATAATAATTAAATCAGGGTAATTGGAATATCCATCACCTCAAGCATTTGTCATTTCTTTCTTTCTTTTCTTTTCTTTTCTTTTTTTTTTTTTTTTGAGACAGGGTTTTGTTCTGTCACCCAGGCTGGAGTGCAGTGGCCTCATCATAGCTCACTGCAGCCTCAAACTCCTGGGCTCAAGTGATTCTCCTGCCTTAGCCTTTCTAGTAGCTGGGACTACAGGCATGCCCCACCATACCAGGCTAATTTTTTCTAGTTTTTGTAGAGATGGGGTCTCACTCTTGCTCAGGCTTGTTTTGAACTCCTGACCTCAAGCAATCCTCCCGCCTTGACCTCCCAAAATGCAAGGATTACAGGCATGAGCCACTCACTGTGCCCAGCCTGCATTTATCATTTCTTTGTGTTGGGAACATTCCAATTCCACCCTTTTAGTTGTTTTAAAATATACAGTAACTTACTTTTGACTATTTGATTTTTGACTATTAACTAGTCGCCTTGTTATTAGATCTTGTTCATTTTATCTAACTGTATTTTTGAGAGCTTATCCTAAATAAAATTATGACTAATATAGTGTGTTTTATGATTATTTAGGATGAAGTCAGATTCTTTTCTCCAGGAAATGCCAAATGTAATTAATGTGCCTCGTGGGAACCTCATGATCAACAATGGCCAGTGCATTCTCCCGGTTAATTTAGAAAAAGAAAAACAGAAAAATATAAAGAATCTGAGCTATACCAATGTCCTCCAAAGCAATCCTATGAAAAAATGTGGAATTGACACAATTAATTTGCAAAAAAATGAAACTCCACCAGTTCCTCCTCCAAGAAGCACCTCTCGAAATTTTCCCAGCTCAGATTCCGAACAAACCTATGAAAGGTTAAAGGAAAGTTTAGAATACAACAGCTGGGTGGCCCATGAGGGTCTAAGTGAAAGGAACTGCAATCCTCACTTCCTTTTGAGGCAGCATGAGATGCCTATGTTGTGTCCAAATGAACAGAAGACTTTGAAAGAGGATATCATGTTTTCCTCTTTGGCACCAGAAGTCAAAATAGATAGCAAGCCTCCAAGTAAAGAAGATGTTGGCCTTAGCATGTGGTCATATGACATTGGTATAGGTGCCAAAAAGAGTCCCTCCACTTTTTGGTTTCAGAAAACCTGCTCTGCTCCCAATAAGCCAAAATATGAAATGGTGATCCCAGATCACCCTGCTAAATCTCATCCTGATCTTCATGTAAGTAATGACTGTAGCTCCTCAGTGACACAGAGCAGTAGCCCACTTAGAAGTTTCAGTTGTGGCTTTGAAAGAACTACAAAGAATGAAAAGCTGGCAGCAAAAACTGATGAATTTAACAGAACTGTATTTAGAACAGATAGAAATTGTCATGCAATACAGCAAAATCAAAGCTACTCTGAGGATCTTAAGCCCTGTGATACCTTATCTACTTATACAGGTAACATATCAGAAAATGACACTGTGTCTGGTATTTGGAAAGCCAGTGCCCACATGCCTGTGCCCATGGAAAATGTGCCTGATAATCCCACTGAGAAATCCACAACAGGATTAGTCACACAAATGCAGGGACACGTAAATCCTCGCCGTTATCGGAATATGCTCCACGAGCATGATTGGAGACCAAGTAATTTGTCTGGTCGACCAAGGTCAGCTGATCCCAGGTCAAACTATGGTGTCGTGGAAAAGCTGCTGAAAACCTATGAGACATCAACAGCGTCTGCACTGCAAAATTCTAAGCGCTTCCGGGATAATTGGACCAAATGTAATTTTGATGTCAGTGATGGTGCCACATTAAGTCAGCATTTAGAAATGCTCCAAATGAAACAAGAATTTCAACAAAAGACAGCTATGTGTGGGGGACAGCAAGTGAAGCAAGGAATAGATCAGAAAAAGTTAACAGAGGTGAGAAAGCAAATCACATAGTTTGGTAGAGATGCATCAATATTTAGTCCAATCCATTGCCCATTCGTATAAATAGGATGTAAGCAAATATTTTGGCCTCTTGTCACCTGCTTTTGACCCTCTGTGAATAAATATAACTCAAAAGGAACTTTTAGGGTATAGTTTTTAAGACTGGGAATAGCACATTATAACTTTTTTAAAATTTTGAAATGGGATAATATAAATATAATAAGTGAATTTCAACCTCGAGAAGATCAAATGTTTGTTCTTTCTTGACAGAATATTCAGAATGGACATTGGTTGATTCATAGAGTTTTATTCTTGTAAAGGTTTATTTTTTAAGTGTGTGGAAAATATTTTAAAAATAATTTTCACTTTTCAGTTAACAACTATGGTTGATTCAGTCATTCTCAGCATTTGATTCATGTTTTTTCTCATCAGATTAGTCACATTAATGGTGAATATGAGTAAAACATGTCATTTAAAACAGCACCTAGTAGGGTTCTTTTATTTATGGAACTAAAAGATACTATATAAAAATAACTTCATTCTTCATTCTTCATTCTATATTCTTAGCATGGAAATTGAGAAAAAAAATTTAAGTGGGTATTTAAATAAACTGTTATCCTTTTTTTGTTTCTGTCCATTTCAAAAGAGTATAATCTCCATCACTTACAGGAGAAAAGGAGGTCAACGAAATTGGTATTTACAATGAAGAGTTGTTATACAGCCGTCCCTTTTTATGGATATAATTATTAAGAACATAACTTACAAAAAGTTATAAGTTGGTATATTGTTATTATTAGCCAATGCTTCAGAAATGCTAGCCTTACAGAATGTTGTGTATATGCAGCATGATTTTAAGCTCTTCAGGTTGATTCCTTCTGGTGTAAAATATTATTATATGGAATTCGAATCCTGCAAAAACGTCAGTTTTCATCCATTTTATCAGAAATCTTGCCTGTTTCTGATAAAAACAGAAGGTACAATAATTATCCTGCTTTTGTATTTCTCTGCTTAAAAAAGTAAAAGCTTAGAAGTTGAGCTCATAAATGCCTGTAAGGTCCTGTAGCTAGAGATGGAAAATGGAAACCTGTGTATAATAAACAACCAAAATTCTCATTAACTAATAAGAAATAATAATAAATGTTTCCCCTTTTTGCATTATTGGAGGTTCGGGAGGAGGGGATCCTGTATTACAGATCCTTACTTTTGTTTTGGTTTTAGTTTTTTCCCCTCTGTGAACAAATCTAAACAATAAGTCTCCAAAGAGAGAAAAGAAAATGCAGGTTAGTGTCAGGCCTTGACTAAAATAGTAGAAATAGAGGCAATCCTCACTGTCCATCTCAGGTGAAAGAGCACAGTCTTGGTTAAAAAGATCAATAAGAACCAAGTGTATAAAATGTCATGAAGGCTTTATACTTTTTTTAATTGTAAGATTAAAAAATGCTTTTCTTTCATTTAAACAAAAAAAGAAAAAGAAAGGAAATAAAAGAAAGAGAAGGAAAGAAAAGGAAAAGGTTTTCACATATCAGAACATGCCCAGTAGAGACAGCAACTCTTTATTAGCATTATTAATAGAATGAATTGTATTTAAAAGTATTTTGGTGACCTTTAGAATTTTGAAAGATAATAACAGTGATTCTAAATGAAAAAAATAATTCAGTTTGTGGGTCTTTTGCTTATCAACTTTAAAAATTACAATAATCTGACTTAAATGAACAGTTTCTTCCATCAATTACTTTTTATTTTTAAATAACATTAAATTATCCTAATATCCTGCTAAGGAACATCTGTTCTTCCATCACTGAAGTTATATAAGTTGAATTGTTGAACCCTATGCTTATAATTAGTTCTACAAAGAGATCAATTGTATTAAAATTTGTTAGTGTGAGGAAAGCTACAAGATTATCAAGTGCCGTATTCCAAATTCAATTAAAATTGAATTGCTTTGATTAAAACATCCAAGACCACAAATATTAGACAAATACCTTCTTTAGTTTTCAATTCTTGTTTTTGCTTGGAAATTTGCTAATACATTAATCCCATAGTTGGGATCCATAATGTGTTAAGCCCACTCACTGTTGGTACCTGTATAATAAGAGATGCCTTCATTTGTGTCCTAGGAATCATTGGCGGTGAAAACTTCACATGGAAAAGGATTTTCCCGACCTGCTAGACCAGCAAATCGCCGTCTCCCGTCCAGATGGGCATCTAGATCTCCATCAGCACCCCCCGCCTTGCGGAGAACTGCCCACAGCCATACAATTTCTTTGCGATCTGAAGCATCAATGATCTAAGTCTCTGGCCTGGATTGTGAGATTACAAAAATTCTAGTCCCAGTTGTCAAACAGAGCATTCTGAGTGTTTACAGCCAGTCCTGCTCTCTTCTGTGTCTTTCAAGATCACTGGGACAAGCAACTTAATTCTTAACTTTCCATCAGTCTTCAGTGTTTTTAATCCACGGAATAATTGTTTTTCTGTATTTTGATTTCTTAGATCAGAACTTTTTAATGCCATCCTCATTAATTTTCCAATATGATTTAAGTTGAAACAATGTATAATATTGTATATTCTAACTTTCTTGCAAGTGGCAGAAAGCAAGGTTATGTGCATGGACATGTGTTTGTAGGTGCATGTGTTGAAATAGGAAGTATCCTAGTATGTATTTAGATAAGAAAAACTTATGTGCTAGTGTTGACTTTGAAATTATAACATGTATACCTATATATTCTTTGTGTTTATTTAAAAGTTTTGAAAATATATAGTACTATTTATATTTTGTATACCTTTTAATAGGTATCCACTTAAGCATTTGAGGTACATATATATATATTAATTAACCACTTCCTTCACCCCCAGCCACACTGAAAAATAAGAATTATACACATATCTAACATTGGTAGATTTCTAAATATAATTCATAAATAGTTTCTTAACCCATATAAGGAGAAACTAATATCATTGATCTCCTTGTTTATTCTTTTTTTAAATTAAAGTGTCGCAAGTTTAACAGATCAGCTTTCTAAAGCAAGCATAAAATGTTCATAAATACTTTCGTATATCATTTGGTAGTCTAGTATGGCTTTAACTATATACTTGATCCTCAGAGCCAATGTCAAAAGACTGCCTTATAAATGACTAAATAATGAATTTATTTTGTCAACCTCAGTAACAAACATTCCTTAAACAGGATGCAAAAAACATTAAATTATGTTGAATTTTACTCTTTGTTAAAATTGTGGTAAGCTTTTAGTTTAGCTGCTTTACTTGGAGTCGTATGTATATAGAGGTAAGTCATTCATTTTTTCCCTTTTTCTCACCTTTTCCCTAAAATTAATAGATAAAAGACTAATTTGCTTTTTTTTAACCAAGGAAGATCAAGAATAATATTGAATTGAGAACTGAACTATATTTCTTATAGTGTGCTACAAAAAAAAAAAAAAAGCCTTAAACCAACCATTGAGATCCCATTGTAGCATCAGGAAGAGAAACATATATTTTGGCTAGAAATTGCATACAGTGAACACACAAAATATATGCAGAGAACTGATAGAAATATGAATGTTGAGGTGCTTGGAATTCTACATGGAAGGTCTTAGAAGCAACTTTGCTCCCCATTGTCTCTATATAAACCCAATTATGTTGTTAGTTGGATATTAATTCTATTTAAGATTTTCTCATACTACCAAAAAAGGTTAAGCAATTCTTCTGCCAAACATATTCAAAGAGCCTTTTCCTTATGAGGTGTTCTAACCATTTAGAGAAATTTAATTCATTCTACACCGTGACCTGGAGTAAAGTAAATAATTTTCAAATTGCAATTTCAAATTGTAGACTGCCTTGAAAGGCCCAAGACTGGTGATGTCTAGATCATACTTTACAATAACAAAACTTTCAGGAGTTACGTAGAATTAAACTTCTGGAGTGTGAGTTTGGATCAGATGGTAAGTAAGAGAGATAGATTCACTCTTTTCATTCTTCTTTCTTTTAGGAATATCCCTTTCCACAGGAAACCTATCAAAGAAAAATAACCTACACACTCTCATAACACACTTTTCAGCTAGAGGGGAGAAAACATCAGGAAGGTGGAACCCTGGGGTATAAAATAATGGAGTTTTTAGGACAATGCTGCTGTGTGACTGTGGGGAGCCTGCTCAAGGACTGTGCGACATAACTGTTCCTCTCCAGCACTGTAGCCCAGGTAGTCTGCTATGATCTGTGGTTGTTACCTTGACCTATAAACCAGAAATTAAGGATCTCTTTAAACAATGAAATTTCTGATCTCATTCCATAATTACTAAAGCAAAATTTCCAGAGGTGGGGACTGGGACTCTGTAGTCTTCAATAAAACCAAACTAAGCAAAGCAAAATATTTGTTGACCAGGCAGATTCCGAAGCAGTGACATTAATACTTGAATAGATGGGTACCCACCCTTGGGTGGTCACTTTCCTTCTCTGAGACTTACTTTTGTTATCTGTAAATTAAAGGGGTTATATTGTCAGGCTGCACAGTTTTAAGCTACCTTTTTAGTTAACTTTTGAATGAACCCTTGGGACACGTTTTAATATTTCTTATGGTGACTAAAATCATAGAATATTAGAGCTGAAAAATAATGAGCATCTACGCCAATCACTTGATTGTAAAACTGAAGAAACTAAAATAGATTATTTGAATGTTGCTTTTTCTTTTTAAATATTTTATAATTTTTTTACTGGAAAAATCTATTAGGTAAATAGGAATTATCGTCGAAAATAATTTTTGATGTGATTGATTGTGATTTTTTAAACCGGTAATTTTTCTACTTTGGATCGGTGTTTTCTTCCCAACAATATAACTTTCATTATACCATCATTGCTAAATTTAAAGGATTTGTAAGCATTTCTAGAAGTATTTGATTAGAAACACTTACATTAATAGATATTTTCCCTAGCAGACTTGGGGAAAAAAATCTTATATTATTTCAACAGGGAATTTCTGATATTATAAGCTGATCTCAGAAAAGAATAAGAATGAGGCAGAGAAGAGTGCCTGAGTTTGTGTGTGTGTGTGTGTGTGTGTGTGTGTGCACGCCACCATCAAATTAAGTTCTCTGTATTGTCTTGTGTCCCAAAGCCAAATATAAAAATATAAATGATGCTTTGTATAATTCACTTTATCAAAAATTATCCATAACTTTCATTTGTTTTTATATAGACAATGAAGATGATCATATTTTATTTCATAGATATTACTATAAAACATGAGTTACTTCTACATGGGTGATTTCACTGGGCTCCATGTTATCCTGAGAAAACATCTGGACTGGAAAAAAAAGTGTTTGTGCTTCCTTACAAAGATCTTTAAAGTTATTGTTAGGCATATTTGCTGATAAAAACTACTTGGTACTGAAATCTTCAACCATTAGGAGCTATCAAATAAAATAGGTGTGGAAACACCCACCATGGCAATTGTATACATGCAGAACATTTTGATTTTCCTCCTTTTTTGCAGGGAACTCCGGTAAAGCTGAGAGTCTTATAAAGTCTAAACTTAACTATGTACACAGTTCAATCTAGCCTCTCCCAAAATATCTCCATACAGTGGAATTTCAGCCTAATCTGCCTAACTCCTTGCTCCTGGCCACACACAACCCCTTATTGTTTCTCATACACTGACATCCTCTCTGTGCCCATTTAGCTGCTAATTGAGTCTGATAAAAGTGTTTTTTTGAAAATAGCATTTACCTCTGAAGTTTGCATATACATGATGAAATTAATTATTTTTAGGCAGATTCAGATTTCTAGTATAGTGGTATTTTCCTTCAAATGCTGCATGTTTTTCTTAAGTAGTGTGTACTCTTACCAGAAGTTACAATTATGACTTATTCATCTTACCCAGAAAACATGATCCTTTAAAAAATTGGCTTTTAAAGCAAAAAATCAAAAACCAAGAAAAGTGAGGGAAGGGAGTCCTTCAGGAAAGTGCCAAATATAACTTCTACCCAATCAATTTTATTGTATAAGTTTTTATTGGCATGGGAAATAATTTTTGTTTTAGTGGGAGTAAAATCATGAGGCTTAACATATTGCAATGATTTTATGAATCCAATAGGTTAAATTCCAAAAAAAGAAAAAACTACTTAGATGAAATGATGGAGAAGTCTAGAAATTAGGGAAGAGTCTAGATTTGGAAGGACCTAAGAATTCTTTCAGAACAATCTCATTTAAAGGTAAGAAATCAGGGATTCATAGGTCTGTATGGCTGCCAAGGTTACAAGGACAGAACCCAAACCTGGACTCAAATACTGGTATCCTGCCTTCCTATAAAATGTACCATGTACATCTATGACTTCATTGTTTGCAAAGCACGAAACTTGTTTACTTTACATGACTTGTTTGCTTCTTACAACAAACCTCAAGGCACACTTTGTGATTTCTAATTACTGGAGGAAAAATTAAATTGTTGGGATAATAATTGGAATAAATATTTTCCAAGATAATAGTTAGAAATAAATAGATGGCTTTTCAGACTCCTAGCACAGGCACTTTTCCTTTCCCAAAGAAGAAGAGGAGGAAGGAAAAGAACAGTTCTTTTTCATTTTTGTTTTATGTTTTATCCATGACACTGAAATTGTTTATTTTGCTTTCATTAAGAGTCTCTCTAGGCCGGGCGCGGTGGCTCACGCCTATAATCCTAGCACTCTGGGAAGCTGAGGCGGGAGGATTGCTTGAGCTCAGGAGTTCGAGACCAGCCTGAGCAAGAGCAAGGCCCCATCTCTACTATAAATAGAAAGAAATTAACCAAACAACTAAAAACAGAAAAAAAATTAGCCAGGCACAGTGGCATGTGCCTCTAGCCCCAGCTACTGGGGAGGCTGAGGCAGGAGGACCGCTTAACCCCAGGAGTTTGAGGTTGCTGTGAGCTAGGCTGACGCCTGGCACTCTAGCCTGGGCAACAGAATGAGACTCTGTCTCAAAAAAAAAAAAAAAAAGAAGTCTCTCTTGATTACACCTTTTAGCAATCATAAAAAGTCATCACTCCTGATTTATATGGTTTTAACAAATTCAAAAAGCTGTCAACAAGGCTCAGTTTAACAAAATATTTTCCACTTTTAATGCCTATGCTCTGATTTTATATAAATTTTGTGTGTAGGACATGCTGTTGACAGTAAAACTAATAAATAGCCAAACAATCCTCATATATAGCATCAACAGAATCCTGACCTCCTTAGTCTTCAAAAGAATCACAGAGAAGTTTCACACTATGTAACTTATGTGTACTCCAGAATAAGTTAGAAGCTTTCTTCTTAGTCCATTTGTGCTTCTACAACAAAACATCTGAGACTGGGTAATTTATAAAGAATAGAGATTTATTTCTTACAGTTCTGGAGGCTGAGAAGTCCAAGATTAAGACACTCAGCAGATTCAGTGTCCAGTGAGGGCTGCTTTCTGCTTTCAAGATGGTGCCTTGTTGCTGTGCCTTCACGTGGCAGAAGAGCAGAATAGCAAACAGGAGCCAAGTGCTTTGTGAAACCCCTTTTATCAAGGCCTTAAATTCCATCTGTGGGGGAGGAACCCTCATGACCTAATCACTTCCTAAAGGCTCCCCCCCTTCTTACTATTGCATTGGAGATTAAGTTCCCACTTAAATTTTAGAAGGACACTTTCAAACCATAGCAGTATGTAGTTATTTCCAATTTAAGTCTCACTAAAATTTACAGTCATATCTGCATAAAGATGATTCAGTCAATGACAAACCACATATACAACTGTGGACTCATAAGATTAGAATACAATATTTTTGCTGCACCTTTTCTATGTTCAGATACTTTTAAATACACAAATACTTTCCGTTGTTTTACAATTGCCTACAGTATTTAGCACAGTAACATACTGTACAGGTTTGTACCCTAGGAGCAATCGTGTGTACAACACATCCTAGGTGTGTAGTAGGCTATACTATGTAGGTTTGTGTAAGAACACTCTATGATGTTTGCTCATTGATGAAGTCACAAAAGGACGCATTTCTCGGAACATACCCCTATCACTAAGCAATGTGACTGTAATTGTGCTCTACCATCAATTTCTTTTTGAAGCTTTATTCTCCAATTAAATTATTTACTCATGCGGCAAATTTTGTAAGAATCATTAAACAAATTTAATCCAGCTATTTGTGATCTAAATTTTTTTCTTCGTAATGCTGATCAGATTCAAAATATTGACAAATTATCTAAAGTAAATTATATATTTTTGCATCCCAATCATTGCTTAAAGTTTTGTGTTTAAAATTAACTCAGTAAAGTGTTTTCTGAGTTAATGATATCTGGAGTAAAATAGTTTACTTGCAATGAAAGCCAGAGAAGCAACCAAGGTATTTTTAAGGAGAAGTTATATGCAGGAGTAATAGGGGGCAAAAGTCTCCATTTGTTAAAATTCAGGAGGTAAATCATTAGGAATAAAGGTTCTTCCTAGAAAAGCCCAGGCAAGACAAGAGGAGCTGAGACCTGGCATGGTCACTATGCTAAAGATAGTGGGAGTATAGCCCAGGGAGCCAGAGTTAAATGAATCCATGAGGTATCCTATACAGCAAAAGCAAGCACTGGGCTTCCCAAGCAGATCCAGGCCTGGAGAAAGCACTACATCAAAGACTCCAGGGTGGACAGTGCTCAGGGGTCAGACAGGTGGTCCTCCTTAAGGAGATTTCTTCATAAAGCAGCAGAGACCTGACACTGGGCCCAGGTAGAAATGAAGTGTCCAGGGAAAGAAACTGACAAAAGCAAGATCCAAGATCAAGAAAGTCCAGTCCTGGGGAGCAGCATGTAGGAACATTAACAGATACAGCCTGAGGTAGGGAGGCAGGTGCCACTGGAAGTGAAATGAAGGAATATTCGCCAGCACACCAGATCGCTACTGCAGTTGAGCCCCAAGAAGACTAGGGTAGCAAATGAGAACCCATTTGTAGGCAACTAGCAGAATAACCACCACTAAGCTGAAATAAATGGAGGGCCAGTGCAGATGGGCCTTCATATGAGACATTTGCAGGAACTAGAATTTATTGTGTACTATCAGAGGACCTCACTGTGAGGGACTGAAAAAGGCACAAAAGATGATGAAGTGGGGGCTTATTCCCTTTTTTTTCTCTTCCTTCTAGTGCTATTTTCTTGTGACTCTATCTCCAGAACCCAATACTTTCCTGGTAATATGATGAATAAAATAAGCCATTCATACTTTTGTATGATAAAATGCTAAAATTAAATGATAACATTTTCTCCAATTAAAATTTAAAATAGGCACATAAAGAGTGAGACCGTTTTTAGAACTTACAAAATTACACAAAATTGTCTATGTATGAAGTAAATGAGCATAGAGAATGCCCTTACTGCATTGGTAAGAACAGAAAACAATCTCTGTACTTAGAGAAGTTGGAGATCATCTAGACCAGTGTTTCTAATTACACCAAGCACTTAGAAAAGTGCAAGCAGATAGATAATAGGTTGAGTGAATAAATGAGATTTTTAAATGTTTTAATCAAGCGCTATCAGGAAAAATAAAAATGGTTTTCCTGCTTCCTTATTTAATCACAGATAACTGAATTTACTTATTTTATACAATTGAACTGACCTGAATTTACATTGTATACTAATTTCTCTTCCTGTTTAACAATATTTTGAGAACCTGAACTCACTGAAAAATGTGCACACAAATTGAAATTGTTTTTTCATTGTTTTGAAAATTTTATAAACATAGTCACTAAGGCAAGATGACCAGAACCCTACCAAATAAACAGCACACTGTAATGTTTCAGAGGACTGCTGGTAGAAATTTTGATAAATATCTTTTAGTTGAGAAGTCAAAGGACTTGTGTCATATGAAATATCATAAGGCTGTCTTTTAATGCCTTAGAAAAAAATAGTTGAAGGGCATTTTTGAAGGAAGAAAAACAACAGATTATATGGGCTTTTATTACATGTAGTTGAACTGAATTACGTTTTTAAAATTTTATTGTTGATAAAGTCAACTCTTCACAACTCTCACACTTTAATTCTGTTGCAATCTTATTGCACCCAGTGAAAGTATTCACAGTTTGACTTTCATAAAGAAATCACTTTTAAAATGTCTTGGCTGATTAAACCAAACTTGAGAATCACTGTTAACCGTTAGCCAAAATGATGATTCATCATTTTAACCTATGTTCTAGTCACTTGAAAAAAAAGAATTCAAATAATTGAAAATCTAGTCAACATTTTTCTCTGCCTAATCCAGCACGCATGTATGTCAAAGAGCAAGTTGTCAAACTCATGTCCCATTTCTTTGTAAATTAATCTAAGAAGGTAAGCATCTAGATAATTTTTTTCCTGCTAATTTTAAATGAAATCTAGCATTTCTTTTCAGGTCATTAATGCACAAAGAAAACCAAGAAACAAATTGTTTGAGAGGAGGTTTCATTGGTGGGTAACACCAGAGCTGCTGATTC